ATCGACTCATGGTTGCAAAAGATACTTAATATCCTCGACGAGCAGGGCGTGGCCAACGAAACCTTGGTGGTATTCCAAGGCGACCACGGGTTGTCTATGCCGGAGAATGACATTGTAGCGTCTTATTATAACCCGAACGTTGGAAATGACCACATTCCCCTCGTTTTGTCCCACCCCAAGCTACCAGCCTTTGATGTTCCAGATCCTGTCTCGTCTTCACAGATTCTACCGACCATCCTCGACCTCCTCCTCGAGACAAACTCACTTCACACCGCCACCCGTCAAGTAGCCACGGATTTGCTGAAAAACTACGAAGGGCAGTCACTCATTAGGCCACAAAGGTCAGAAAGGCTAGGTCAGGTCCAATGGCAGTACAACGTTGCCAACCCAGGCCGCTCCATGCTCACCGCGCGAGACCCAAGCCATCCAGACTGGCACCTCATCGTCCCCGTCGTCGGGAATGTAGAGTGGAGGTTCAGCAACCTCACTGCCGATCCCCGAGAGCAGGATTCAGTTCAGAGCATCGACTTTTTGTCTTTTCTTGGTAGAGTGGAGGAGAAGCATGGTGAGGAGGTTGCCAAGTGGGTGGAGGAGGGCGCATATATGACACGATGGTGGGTGGAGGAGAACCACAAGCGGTGGCGGTTTGGGCCTTATCAAATATAAATTTGAATCTTTAGTAGAGTAATGCAAGTATAAGACATGATCAATAATTTTCAAGGTTCTTCCCTCTTGTTGCTTATTTGTTTGCCCGCCCTGGCAGGTCGCGAAACTATCTGAACAGGATGGATGGGCTACTATGTACTTCAGCTTTAACAGAGGCCGACTTCATTCACGCTAGACAAGCCTCTTGATGCTCGGTGGCAGCCCTAAATGACATCCTTGTCAATAGCACGATTTAAGCGAGGTGCCATGTGGTTGGTGACAGGGAGAATACTCGAAAAACATCTCCAATCTTGGCTTATTGGCTCCCCAGGGCAGTAAGTGGTGTGTAAGAGTTACAGCGCGGCTGATGCGCTTATCCTGGAGCCAACCCAAAAACGCGGGTTTTCCCAACACCTTTACTCTCACTACGCCTGGTACTGGCTGTTCTTCGACAATTTTCTCCTTCAAATGCCTTAAGCCTACTATTCATTGCATCTTGGAGTCGATGTCTGTGTAGAAATAAGCCTTAGAGGCTGAGTTATTAAGGGAGAGGCTTGTGGTAGTGACATTTCTGACACCCACTTGGTGCGTAAAACCCCTGTTTCGCTCCACCTCCGTATTGCTCGCGATGAAGCTTGGCATGGGAAATCAGCCTAGAGACCAGCCCAAGTGTGGTGTTGCTCCTGGAGTTCAAGCTGCATCAATGTATGAAAGATCTGGGCATTTAACATAAAGCCTACGTCTTTTCCACACTCCCAAACTCTCCACACAAGATCCTCTACACAAGCTACATCTATAACAACTTTTACGTCGAAGCATGGCCATTCGCGCGGGCAGTCTTCCAACCCTCCTCTTCCTCGCTAATTCCTTCTCGACACTCGTCAGTGCCACCAGCACCAATGAGCATTCCCTATTCCCAAGAGCAAAACCACTCAAGACCAAGCTAGACAAAATAGTCGTTGGGTCTGCTGTTGGTGGTTTTTTCGGGCTCCTCTTTTTGATCATGGTCCTAGGGCTACTCTGGGGACGGCACGTAAATCGACGAAATGCTCGCAAGGATGCCCACATAGAGGAGGCAGCGCTCTCGGGCAGGCATAAGTCCTCGGCAGATGGCCGAATCCCACTTATGACACGTTCCCAATCCCCGGAGCCAGAGGAGCCAAAGCCCACATACACGCCATTCACCACACTGATGTCATCTACGGTTGGCGTTCTCGACAGGCTGCATGGCGACCCTAAGAAAAGCGGCGGTCGCTGAACCTTTGAATCCGCTTATCCCACGCATCCAGAGCATGTATGATGGTGGCCCAACCGTGTCGTCTCGAGCCCAAAAAGATTCATACGCCAGGGTTGGCGCTGTGGTGCGATGGATCCCTCAAGCCCGGCCGGTTTGAGCTAGGGATTTGATCAAATCCGGTCTACGAGCTTATATCGCGAGGCAGTCTTTCGCAGTTTTTGTCGATGAAACTGCAGTAGCCGTCCTAAACATGACCTGACCTACTCGATCTTGGCAGGATGTCGCGGTGCTTAATGGCATTGTTGGGTATACAAACCCGCACGGAAGCAGGCCCCATAGAAAGAAGTTTGGGCATTGAGTATGGGTTTAAAATTCATGCCCAAAAGGCTCTGTCTAATCACAATCTCTTGTGTTTAACCAGCATGTTGAGCGAGGGAAGTTGGAGAGAAGGACGACCTTATCACGAGCCCCCTTAAAGATTGACGCGCACTGCCACTTACTTCGGCAGCTCGCTGGGGGCCTTTCACAATACACTTCACCTCGTCCAGGTCAACCCCATTGGCTAGTCTCTATAGCAAGTGCGGTTTGACAGCCAGAAGATCAAAAGATTCACCAATGTTATCCAGTCTTTGGTCCCCAAATCGGTACCTGAAGGTAAAGCTGAAAGTTATGATAAAGTAGCTAGAGATTGACGTGAGAATACAAATGTAATGCCTGATGCCTACACAATCCCTTCTCTCGCTGTGATATCTATAGCAGACGACCTACGTGTCGTGGCTGTTTGGCACTGCTAATCCGTATACTTAGAGGGATTCAAAATCATCCCCCTCCATAATCCCCAATCTACAAGGGCTGGCCACCTATCGTTCATCGGTGCTGTCATATTCCCCACTGCAGGGACGAGCCTGCTTCCCCGCGACGGTGGCAAATTACGGATTGTGGTTCTCTAGCTGCCTAGAGGGTTATCCATCCACCTCCATCCTGCTTCCGTCTAATGTTCTTTCTAGCTTCTAAGAATGGCATCAAATTTCAGCTTCAATCTATTGAGCTTTGGATAAGTGTTTCGTCACTCAAAGAGTGGCTAAAAAGCCCTGCGAGCAAATCCTTAGCGCCTAGCAAATCAATATTGCTGGGGTGATCAATCGCATTGGATTTGATTGAAAGCATGACATGATGAGTCACACCTAGGTAGCATCGCTCCTACGCATGGTCAAGAACTCAAGTAATATGGCCGGGGGTTATATCCTTTTAGCTCTTGTATATATAGAGGACCACCAAGTTCTTCTAGACTCCCTACTAGCTTCCATTCATGGTCATTTTCAGTTCTCAATGATGGAAGTCCCGGGGGTTAATGATGGCCAGGAGGCTATGGAGAAAGTCTTCTCCGCAGTCGAGTTATTGGAAACAATCCTCCTCCATCTTGACCACAAGGACCTTCTCCTGTCCCAGCTCATCAGCGCCCATTTCAAAAATGTTGTCTCGCAGTCCCCTGCGATACAGCAAAAACTGTTCTTCACGCCAAGCTCTGCTAGCGACATGCCGCAACAGAGCCCCCTTCTCAAAGCTCTGTTTCCGACATTCTTCTCGCTAAACCGGCCAGTAAGCCCAGACAACTTTTATAGCATCGTGTGCGGCACTATGGATTGGTATATGAATGACCGCCACGAAAGCGTCTTGCGTCCTGATGCCTCCTGGAGGCGCATGTTTCCGGTCCAGCCAACGGCAAAATTAGAGCAGATCAGGATCTATACCCATGACTACTGCCTATACAAAACGGGCAGTCCTGTCCCCGCAAAGTTTGGGAATGAAGTTGAGGTGCTTCAAGAGCATGGATTAAGAATGGACTTGCTATATGACTTGGTCGTCCATTTATGGGGCCTGCATCCATCACCCCAAATGTACATTCACTGGGAGATGTTCCCGCTCCTCGGAGGTGAAGAAGAGTGGGCTGGTGGGATCCCAAGCCCAGAAGACTGGTCCAACAGAGATCTCGTTGCCTATCCGTTGCCTTTACAAGAAAACATGAGCGACGAAGACCAGAAAGCAAACAACAGGATTACCTTGTATTATCAGCACGATTCAGCGTGCGGAGGTAAACCATGGGTGCCTGATTTGAAAATTGATTCATCATTTAACTCGATGATTGAGGCCGACCGCACCAAACTACTACGTTTTATAGGAAAGGCGCAGCTGGGCTGGAATCGCTGGGATGAGTATGTTGATGACGAGGATCCTGTTGACCGGGACGGCACCGATGATGACGAGTAATAGAATACGAAAACATCATTACAATGAGGAGATATTGTCAGTGAGCTTCGTTACTGAGCATTGTGTGATAATTTCCGGCCGACTTTGCCAGGATAAGGAGGGCTTATTCATTTTCATCTCTATTTAGGCCTTCAGAGCTTCTTCTTCAAATACCTATTATAAAGATACCCTCCGTTTGGGCAACGTAACCCGTAGTGCCAAACCTGATCCACTGTCCCTGATGGTTACTCAGACCTGACCTATGCAGCTTTGTTTCTTTGAACTGTACATCTCATACGCACGAATGACTTTTTTTATTAGCTTTCGAACAGCCAGGAGAAAGCGAGTACAAGTTTCCCAAACACACTGGGATAATGAATATCCGTAACATCTCCAGTGTTTCCTACTCAAGCGACTGAGATAAAACATGGCACACTACAGCTCTTCTCGTACAAGCTAGAGACCTCGTTTTCTTCTTACAAGTACTAAAAATAATAATAATAAAATAATCGATTATTCTATGATACTTAGCTTGGTACTATGTTCATTACTAGGTTAATTGTTTTGATATTATGTCGAAATCTAGAGCTGGATGGACGCTTTGGTGCATGTTCTATTTCAGCCACTTGCTACTGTACGATGCCACCTTTAAACCGAAGTATTGCTATCAGCAAAAAATCAAAGTCTCCAGATGTACTCGATTGGTTATTTGAACGATGTCATATGACTGGTATCGTTTTGCGTGCAAAAATATCGCAGTGTGGGCATTCATGTATGAAACTCCAAGGCCAGAGAACTGGCTCCTTGATCCCAAGTATCAAAGCGCAACATCCAGATGATCCCGGTTTTTGGCCAACTATTCCTCCACTCATTATCCCCCACTGACACCTCCGCCGCCTCCATCACCACCGCTTCCACCTCCGCCATCCCCGCCATGATGTCCACCATTGTGTCCACCCTGATGCCCGCCGTGATGCCCGCCATGATGGCCTCCTCCGTTGTCATAGGGGTATGCACCGTACATCGGGTAGCCACCGGTATTACTGTTAGCATTGTTATTATTCTGTGTTTGGCTGGGCTTATTCTTCGTCTTGAGCTTGTCCTTGAACCCGGCCAAGGCACTATTTCCCAAGCCTACAATTCCACCTCCACCGCCGCTGGACGCAGGCAGGTTGACGCCGGCAGCAGATAACCGTCCTTTCGCTTTGTCGGTCAGCTTCCCCAGAAATCCTCCACTCTGGCCGCTTGTCGTTTGTGGCTGCGGTTGCGGTTGCGCGTACTGCTGGTTTGGGTAGGCTGCTTGCTGCTGGTTGGGATAGCCCTGATATTGCGGGTAACCTTGAGGGCCGAAGCCTTGTTGCTGCTGTGGATATGGTTGCTGCTGATAGGGTTGCTGCTGATACGCCATATAGTCGCCACCGTATGGCTGCTGCTGCTGCTGCTGCGGCGGCGGAGAAAATGCAGGCGAGTACGGGTGCTGGGGTTGCGGTGATCTCTGTTGGGCGGCGAGAGCATCCTCTTCTGCCTGCAGTCTCGCCGCGAGAGCAGCGTCGCTATCCTCCATGGCCGTGTTTCCCCTGTAGGGATGAGTTTCCATGTTCAGCTGTGGTGTGGCACGCGAATCCTCCTCGGCTTGAAGGCGGGCAGCGAATGCCTCATCGTCGGCCATCTGTGAATCGCTGGCCTTCTGTGGTTCGCTGCTGGCCTGCTGGGCCGACCCTGGATGGTCCCATTGCGAGACGTTTGTGTGAGAATTGAAGAAGTACCTGAGAACCGCGGATAGTTAGTGGAAGGCCCTCTCCCTTCGAGTCTCGTGTATGGAACACACCATGCTTTGTACTGGTCATTCCACTGAGCAGCCCATCCTGGTGGCAGAGAAGCGGGGTAAGATCCGGGCGGCGGCGAGGATGGCGAATCCATCACGAAAGACACGAGGATCTGGCTGGGATATAGGTGAGGGCAATAGCGCCGCTGGGAGACACCCGAGAGATAGATAGTACGGGCTAAGGAAATGACTTCGTGGCCTGATGGCTGAGCTGCCAGAGTTTTCTGCGCAATGTGGATGATTAATGTCGAGAAACAGTGGAGATGGCGGTCGCTGTTACATGGCCGGGCAGCCAATGATACTGACCAGCGCATAACGGGAAGCCCGGAACAAAGGCTTCTGGTGATACATTCGGGCATAGTGATGGATAGGTCACGGCTTTTCCAGAATGCTACGTCATTGAAGTGATCGTTCTATGGCTGTTTGAACCAGGTTCCAGAGCACCTTGTTAGCAAGTAACCACTGGACTGAGCAAGCGATGCGAGGTCTCACCATTTCAGCATCAAAGAGCAACAGCAACATATTCAGACTCACTGCATTATAAGCTTCTCTCTACGCTGACTCAGGTGGCTGACCCAGTTCCTCCCAGCCTCAAATGCGGCCAACTGTACTCAGCAATTCCTCGTCTCAGCCATATTCGATTATCCGCGTCCAAGCACCGAATCCTACGCTGCCGAGGCATACAGGTACATTTATTAGTAGAGTACCAGTTGGCGGTATTCAATTGATAAGCCGCCACACACCCGCAGACAATTGGCATTGGGAAGCGATGATCTGCATGGAGTGTCAGGCAGCATTCACCAGTTAGTAGCAGCCAACGATTGACGAGTAAAACCGCCAACATTCACCATACCAGAGTCGACTTGACCCAAACAGGCTTTTCTTTAGCTTCCGATCATTGGATTTGACTAGGATCGGCCGTATCCGACAGCGCGACGAATGATCCACATAAGTCAAACCATTATATAACTCTCTAGCGAGACCACGAGGCTTGCTATATTACCTCTTGCGTATTGGGACCAGAAATTGCGAAAGAAGGGAAACCATTATAACCAAGGTTAATCAGTTGCTAGTAAAACTTGTTCACGGAAGAGAGTTTGAGTATAAAGTTAAAAACAGCAATGAAAAATGACAGATCCGACATCTCAACACAATGAATAGTAAAACTTGCTCACAGTATGTGCTGAGTCTTGATGATAGGCCTAGAACAATGTATGAGATAAGCCAAGCCAAGCAACGTCACTCCAGGCGAGTGCCTTAGGGCCCAATGCGACCTATTCGATTATTGTCTTTTGGTGTATCCGCCGATCTATTCCCCAGCTCCATACTCCAGATTCTCTTGATTTGTGTGCAATTGTGCAATGGCAGCCCTCAATACCCAATAGGCGTCTCTGTACAGGTCTTGATTCAATCATTCTCGGTGCATACAACCTAATTTACTTATCGTACGTTGCGAAAATTTATAGATATCTCACCAGCAGCCAACAGCATACGGATGCCTTGTTGCCTCGTCCACCCAGCCAACAGGCTGGATCTTCACTGGAGCTTACGCACTGTTGGTTGTCACTTATGGGGTCCTTGTGTATGTTGGAGGGTGGGATGGATGAATTCTAAGCATTTTATTCGTTCGCTGCCTAAATATCAGTCGCCTTGCAGTTATGCAACCATCCATCAATCAGTCGCGTCCAGCGGTGGAAGCTGAATCGGCATGGTCCGCCTCGTGTATTTAAGAAGACCATCTTTCCCCCCTCCAAGAAAACAACGCAAGCCTCTGTCTCTTCTCACTTCTTCTGCCATTCATCATCTTGTCCCCGTCAATCAAGCCTGGATCATACCAGTCGCATTGAAACCTTTCCACCCTCCCATCACATTTGCGAATAGCACTTCTTTGCCTCCTTCTTGTATCTGTCCACTCGAGGCAAAATGACTGCAGATGCCATTGAAAAGAAGCCAACAGATGCTACCAACAGTGCGACGGCTGCGGTAGAAGCGGCCGGCAGCCCCAACGAAGGCGAAACCAACAAGAGCGACAACGCTCAGGGTTCCCCTGATGCAGCTGTTGGCTGTTCCACGGTGAGCACAGTGCTCTTCGCTACTTTTGACAAAGCTGGACGGCAATCATGGTCGTCGAAATCGCCAGACGTGGAGACTACCGAGAACAAGGAGACTCGGAAGTCGGCCATCATTGTGCGAAAGGGTGAGGCTCCTCTTGCGCAGCTAATGAAGCGATTTTTTGGCCTACTAACTCGGCAACAGTTGCACCCAAGAGGGCAGATTCGAGCAAGCCGCTGGTCATTGACAGTCTGGTCATCCAGTCCCCGTATCTGAAGAAGGTGCTCGCCAAGGTGCTGGAGGACTACCCCGGCATTGTCGTCAACGTCGTCCGCCTCGTCTTCGACAACCCATTTGAGTGCTTCGTCCACCGCTGGGACCGCTTCATCCAGGCTCTCCAAGACCCTGAGCTCGACGACCTCACCAGGGAGCATCTCAAGCTCTTGCACGAGATCCTGGAGGAGGAGCTGCGGGATGTTCTCCAGTCCCGTGAGGACTTTATCAAAACCAGGGCAGTCAACTGGGCCCACGTCTGGACAATCTTCACGCCCGGGTGTATCGTTTGGGGGTCCAAGAATGGAAAGCCCGTCGCGGTCAAGTTCGTCCGCGGCGAGTATGCAAAGGATAAATGCGGTCGCTTCTACGCCCTGCACTGCCAGTGCATTGAATGGGATGGCAATATCCTGGGCTGGACCAAGGCTCCGCAAAAGATCCGCCAGTACCTCGGCACCATGAAAGTCCAAAGTCTATCATGCTTTCCACTCGATATGCATTCCCAGAGGGAAAATGTTACCCAGATGCTTCGGGAGCGTGGGTCGCGTTTCCACGAGTTGGCTGGGCATCGGTATAAGTTCTCCAACGGTCTGGCTCTCTGGTACGATAGAAAGTACAAACTGATCCGACAGGAGATGGTGGACTCGCGCATTGTGATTGACGCGAAGACTTGGGGACAGGAGACGCCAGAGCTATCATTCAGCACAACAAAGAATCTCCGCATCGGAGGTTACGTGAAGGGCACTGTGGGTGGTCGTCGGCCAGATGGCAACGATGAGGATTCCGATAGCGACGACAATAGCGATGGCAATGGGGAGGAGGGGAGCGAGGATGGGAGTGATGATGGTGTGGATGTGGACATGGGAATCGGCGTTGATGACGACTTTGATCCCAAAGGCCCCGGCAAAGATGGGCGGGACCAAAAGCTCCCAGAGCATCTGCTTATTCTTACCAGCCCCATGGTCAGAGGCTACTCGCTCAAGAACAGGCGCTGGATGGAGTTCTTCATCGACGATGTGTCCGAGATTACATTCCGCGAGAACTCCTTCGACTCGCTCGTATTGGAGCAGGAGAAGAAGGATCTGATCCTGGCATTTTCCCAAACCCAAATCAAACGCAAAAACCAGTTTGACGACGTTATATCCGGCAAGGGTCGAGGCATCATCATGCTCCTGTCTGGCAGCCCAGGCATTGGAAAGACGCTCACTGCCGAAACAGTCGCCGAGCATATGCGTGTGCCCCTGTACTCGATCAATGCCAGCGACCTAGGTTCCTACGCCTATGAGATGCAATACAACATGAGCAAGATCTTGACCATGGTGGCTTCCTGGAACGCCGTCCTGCTTCTTGACGAATGCGATGTGTACCTTGAAAGGCGGGAGACTGGTGACGTGTCACGCAACTCGATCGTCTCCGTGTTTCTACGCATGCTCGAGTATTACGAGGGAATCCTCTTCATGACAACCAATCGCGTCGACACCATAGATCCCGCATTCGAGAGCCGCATCCACCTCTCTTTGGAGTATCCTAACCTCACAGATGCTTCTCGCGAGCAGGTCTGGCGTGCATTCTTCGAGCCCATCGATGACCAGGGCGCCAAGGCTCATGACCTCAGCGATGCTAACATCAAGGAGCTTAGCAAATTGAACCTGAACGGCAGGCAGATCAAGAATACGATCAAGATGGCTAAGCTTCTGTCTTGGCAGAGGGAGGAGTCGCTCAAGATGTGGCATGTCCAGTATGTTTTGAAGGTCCAAAAGCTCAAGAGCCTGTCAGAATAGGGAAACCGGCACGGTCTCATTGGCACGGCATTCCTGCCAGCGCCCGTTCCTCAGTAGCAGTGAGAAATTATTAGTAGCAATCGATTACGACTTTCTAGGGTATCAATGAAAACCTTGACTTTCTTTTCATGATACAGTGAACGTCTGCTAAGAGCTATTGTGCAAGAATACCCTTAACCGTGACCTCTGTGAGAGCCCAAAGACGCCAACAGCCAGTGATTTCTTCTTTATCTGCCAATAGACCTATAATAAGATGGTAGTAATTTTATTTTGTAAATGGCATACATCGACCTCTTGTTTCCACATTCTCGTTGGCGAAGAAGGGAGGGAGCAGATTGGATCGACTTGAGAGTGGATGCGCTGAGGGCAAGGTTCTTATATTCAATCTAGAGCTGACACACCACCAATCCACTACAGCAACTGAACACAGTTGATCATCTTCCGTAGTATAGTGGTCAGTATGCAAGCTTGTCACGCTTGAGACCCGGGTTCAATTCCCGGCGGGAGAGTCCGCCAACCGGTTCAGCCGGTTCATCTTTTTTTATTTTTTCCTACCTCAATCGAATTGCATCAAGAATCAGCTGGGTCTTTCATCCTTTTTCCCTGTTTATTATGTGGGGTTTTTTTGTTCAAAAGCATTGATGCTCACATCCTTGAACCAAACCTGACCGGTGACCAATGATTCTACCTACCCTATAGCACGGGTAACTTTCTCTCGCAGGCAACATTGCACCAACTGGGCAAAATATTATAGAGCCAGTGTTTGAAATAAAAGAAGAAAATCAAGCTACGAGGAAGCTTAGACGGTCTGGACACAGACACCTTTAAATTCAAAAGGCAGGTGGAAAGAAACATCAAGACATGTGCATCATGATTGTATGGAGACGTGTTCGCGGGAAGCTATTGCAGCGCATACATGTACTGTCACAGGTCTGAATAGGAATGAATCCGCTGTAGGTTGTTTTACGTTATTCATTGTAATAATATCGGTGACTCAACTACCATACAAAACCAGACGGTCCCGTTGAGATATTAGACTGGGCAAGTTAACCCAAAGTCCTAGTTTCTAATATGCGAAGATAGGACTCGTCGACGCGAATTGGAATTATAAATCCATAGGTAGTGACAGGCATGAAGCGCTGCTCCTACTCGATACACACAAGATGTGATCGCGTCTCTTTCCCTTTCCTTTTTGTTTCGTCATTCTTCACCGCAATGACTGTTCCTAGGGACATTATAGGCACAGGCATTTCGTTGCGAGGAAGAATTCCTGGGAGATTATGAACCAGAAGCTCTGGCTCACTTTTACTTGTAATGTGTTCATAAACCTGGGCGCCAGAAGCCCCATGCCATTATATCGCCCAGCTGGGATAGTTTTCCTCGAAGCGGGCAATCCGCGCATTGGGGGCCTTGGAGCCCTTATTAGAGCGGGCTTTCGATGATGCTGGGGTATCAGGCCGGGGCGACTCCTTGAGCTTAACTGGCTTCGCAGCAGAAGTTGGCACTTCCCACTGCGAGTTGTTCGTGAATCGATTGACAAAGTACCTATTACACATGTCTTGGTAAGCGTCTGTGCTAGATTATCCAGAAATTAGTTGATCGCGCAATCTTACCACTGCTGAGATGGCTCGTCCAAGTGGGTGACCCAGCCTGAAGGGACCCGTGGAGGAGACTTTAGTGAGGGTGAGTTGGGCAGGCTTCCCCCTTTCCTCGATGACTGGTTCGTGTGTGGTTGTTCTTCGCTGCCTGACGTCGAAGATGTGGTGCTCTGCGTTAGGCCATTGGCGATCTTGGCAAAGACCTTCCAGTTGCGCTTTCCAGTCTTGTTCGTTTCGTCCTCGTGCTCCTCCTCGTGATTTCTGGGGCTCTTTGGGCTCCTTTGGAAAGAAGCTGGAGATTTTGGAGATCTCGACTGATCGTAATGGGGAATGAGGAGATCCGCCGGACTCGTGATGATTGGTTTCATCGGCAAAGGCTTGTCGACTGTGTCGCCGCGACTGCTGATGGAGGCGTTGCTGTCCTCGACTGACCTAGCATATGGTATTTCGAAGTTTTCAAAGTGCTCTCTGGTAATAGCAGGAGAGGGTAGTGCGCTCCTCGGCGTGTTTAATTGGGATACGACCGGCTGGACCTGGGGCGCGACCGGTTGAAGCTGAGGTACGATCGGCTTCGATGCGACTGGCGGAGTCTTGGTTACGACTGGTTGAAGCTGAGGCACGAACGGCTTCGATACGATCGGCGCAGTATTGGTTACAACTGGTTGAAGCTGAGGCACGAACGGTTTCGATACGACCGGCGCAGTGTTGGTTTCGATCTGTTGAGTCTTGGGTGTGATCGACTGAGGTTGCGATAATATCGGCTGAGTCTGGTAAGGTTGGTATATCCTCGTCCACGAAAATCCCAATGCATCCCTCAAGGATAGCCTCAGCCCAGGTCGTGGCTCGGCGAGACCTTTGATAAACTGGATAAAATTCTCTTCCACTGCATGCCTCCGTAAGACCGACTCTCGGATCGGTGTCTGCCCATCGCAGTATGTGAAGAGACTCTCGTGAGATGAGAACATGGGGTGCCCTGCAGATATCCTGAAGGCTATTTGTCCCAACGACCACATATCGACAAGGAATGGATCCACGTTGCTTGGATTCCCACTGTACCCAAGCACCTCGGGCGCTATCTCGTGCAGGACTCCTCGGGCGGTGATCATGCCCGTCAAGCTCTCATTCAGCTTGCTCAGGCCGAAATCGGCCAGTTTAACCCACCAAGAAGGATGGGTGGTCATTACAAGAACGTTCTTACAACATGAAAAAGGTTAGGGAACTGCGAGATTGAGCTTTGATTTCAGAACTTACAGAAAGTTTGAGGCCTCCATGGCTGAAACCCTGCTCATGCAAACTGCGGAGAGCACTTAGAATCTGCCAGGTGACGTCGTAAATATCGGTCTCGAAGAGTCTGCCGCCCAATTTCGGGAGGTACCTGTCGAGATCTCCGAGTTCGCAGTACTCCGTGGCGATGTGCACCGTACCAATGCCAGTATACCAGCCAAGGCATGTGGCGAACTGGCCCGCGTACTGGAGTGAATGTCTCAGCATGAACACCTTATTTTCCTCGCTATCGTGAACTACAGGGCGGAACGAACCTCGGGTTGTGAGAATTTGGACACAAGCTCGATGTGTTGATAGACATGCGCGCTGGATTCGTTGGGGTCGTCTGGCAGGCGGATGCTCTTCACGACGCGGAGCTTGGGTTGGTCGGGCTGGGCTGTGATTCTCTCCTGCAAAATGACCTCACTACGGTCCCCTTGTCCCAAAATTCGCTTCCAGGTCCATTTTTCTAGTGTCGGGTGGCGGTGCGAGGACGGCGGGTGAATCGTCAAATCGTGCTGGTCCTCCGACTCGAAGCGAACGGCGAGCTGCAACTCCTGTACAATGTCCGGGAGACCGTCGAGAGAGATCCCGAGACCCGACATTTCATCTGGAGGTTAGTTCCGCCGCATCCGGCCAGGGCGTTTTGGTATTATCGAAGCAGGTCCGCGAGTGGTGTAAAGCGGTGGCCGAGAGCAGGCGTGTCATTGAGGGGCGGCGATATGTAGAGAATGGAAAGGGGACCGAGCCAGGAATCCTACGAAAGCAGCAAGCACAGAACGTCATGGGCGGTGACAAGTTTATTACTACTACGCCCACTAGAGCGAGCCGGCACAGGCCAGACTGAGCACGAAGCCGCCCTCATGCCCAGAACCCAGTCAGCCGGCGAAATTGATTGCGTAGCGCATGCAGCTGTGGGGTGGTTTGCTTCAAAACAAGTCCAACCTGCCTATAATTGGATATGGGGCTCGGATCCTAACGTGGTCCATGCTTCGCGCGATGATCCAATGTGACACGAGGTGGTGAAGATCAGTCACGAGGATGCCAGCGTATTACTGTGAGACTCGTGCGCGCGGAACCTCCCTGTCTGCTTATTCCGTCCTCCAGATCGGCCGCCATGATGTGCGTCCAGACCGGCGAGAGCGAGCCTAAAAGGGGCGTGTTCTCAGGAGGGATCGGCGAACGCGCGCAACGCACAAGCGGAGCCGAAGGGCAAGAGAGAGAGACCACGGTGGTTCGTGCTGGTTTAATTTTAGAAATGTGCCACCTGGCTCCTTAAATCAGTGCTGGAATGAAAGACTACCACGTCCTACCTGAGCGCCCCTTTGCCACTGCATCCTGCGCAGTTGGACTAGGACGCGGCCATGTGTGTGGCGGGAACCGAAATGATAATTACCGCGTATGGCTGGTAGGATTTAGACGATTCATTGCGTTTATTGCAAATCTCCCCGCCTTTGAGTGCAAAGTACATGACGTCTCGGAGAAAGACGGCCGGAAGACAGGATCAGTCTCGATGCTCGTCCACTCGCTGAATTATTCTTCGTTTGGCCCCCAGTCTCCAGCTTATAAGAACTGCCGAGCCACCGAATTTAGTCGCCTGATAATGACTCCCGACTCCCTGCAGCAGACATGCAGCATGTGATGTGTGGGTTGGGGAACTGTCCGCCCCTGGAAAGTGAGATTCCTGACACGACCGTCTGCGGGGGTTCGAGCTTCTAGAATCGGGGTTAGCTGTGTTTCTGCTCAAATTTACAGTACCGTAACCGAGATGGAGTGTTATTAACCCCACCCAAATATGCGTCAGAGGACCTGGGTACCCTTGATCTCGTGTGTGATTGCCGGGTACCGCGGGCTTTCCCATGTTTTCTCCTGCTTCGATAATCTCGGGTCAAGGTACTGAATTATAAGATATTCCATTGGCCGCAAACGCACTAGGGTCGGCGTTCCAGGCGGCGCCGTTGTCTCCAAGCGTCCATCGATGCGAGGCACCCCCGGCAGACCATTGACCAAACTGCGGCAGAGCACATGGTTTCTTGGCATCTCAGCACTACTCAAAGCTACTGTTCTCCACTTTTCCCTCGTGCGAGAATGATGGACGAAACACTGCCGCTTACTGTGGTGAATCGACTGGTGGTGACGGTCCTTTAATGCATGGGAAGGGAACAGGACTGTATGGAAATACACCGATTTAGTACTGGTTGTATCGAAGAGTTTCCTAGTGTTCATACAATGGTTGACGCTCGTTACAAGTGCCGCCTTTATTGCCAACTAGAAACCTAAGGCTTGTACGTGATCACAGGCAAACAGAAAAAGAGCTAGCCTAGTAGGCTTGGCTTTCCTTCATGATGCTATTTAACCCACTGTGATTTTCCTGTGCTATTCCTGTAGGCATGTTTAGGCACAAGAAAGCCTTCGCCTAAACCGGCATCCTGACTGCCATAGAATTTCTAATTTTACTTGCTGCCAGTTCATATAGGCATTTCAATAGAAAGTATCTATGTTTTTATCTTCAAACATCAACTGAATACATACTAAAGTTGATTCGTAGCCTACTAATGTCAACAGGCTTATCGTTTAAAATCTGGGGTTAAGGAGAGTGTCAGAACAATGAAAACAGGCACCACTCTTTTGAAGCGACGAGTTGATCGATTCATCAAGCCTATATCTTTCGAAGGCGCATGGATTTGCGTGTCTGGTCGATCACATGCGTGGGGCTTACATGAGGCGTCAGAGTTGTTGCTTTCATCAGATTGCTGAGGGCGGTGTTTATGACCTGCAGACACATCATCAAAGCTTTAGAACCTTCACAACAAACTGAGTTAGCTCACTTTATCTCCCATCCAATGGATTGTGAATTAGAGGGCCGAGAGGCCAATAATTCAGCCGATATTCGCATCTTGAGCAGGTCAAGTACATTGCAAAGCGTAACTGTCCCCGAGACTGCTTTTCGTACGTCTTGAGTCTTATATGAGACAAGCCGTTATCGGTAAACTAAAACAGACCAAAACCTGAAGTCAAGCCATCGGTCACGGAGATGGTGTCCCTGGTGAAGATTATGTGGACGTTGAACCCCTGAATTCTCGGCTGGATCTCAAACTAGCCGATTTTTCAGTCCTGAAAGTGTTTGGAGAACGAGTACAAATGCAGGCCGTGCACCATCGTGTTGCAGGAAGCATGATACAACGGGTGCGATAGTGGTGTTTTGTACCGGACTAATCTTAGCTCTAGAGGCTTATCATTGCTAATTATCGTGAACAGATCTACGGTATGGTTGACCGGAAACAGCTCATACGGCATTTCCGAGTGATGTCTCAATGGGTATCAAATCGTCTGGTAACATTTTTGGGACTGACTGGCGGCCTTGGGGTATATTTGGAGTATATGGACTTGGGGCAGGTGTGACGAAAAGATCTCTCACATTGAGACACATGCCCTTGAACTAACTCATTTTTATTTCGATATAGGTCATTTCCATCTCACCGGACCCATCCCCGTAGATACTTTGGGGCAGGTAGTACTTTCCGTTATGGAAGCTTTGCTATACTTACACGATAAGGGTTTCATCCACCGGGATGTACGGACATCCCGGATCCTGGCTAATCTCAATGGTGACATAAAACTCGGTGGCTTCCGACTCTCCACACTGGTTGAAGACGAAACTGGCTCGACATTCTTGCCCTAAGCTAACTTCAATAGAATAATGACGCCTTTATCACTTCAGCCCGAGCTTCAAACGTGAATCTTAGCCAGTAGACTACCAAGATATTTCACAAAATGGAATCTAGACACACTGGTTAGGATATCTCCAAGTCCATTGACGCCCCAGTAAGTTCTAACAATGGGTTTAAGCTAGTATCGGCAACGTCTCTGAGCCTAGTGAGGCAACTTCAATCTTTGGATACCGAGATGATGCAGGGTTCCAATATCGAGCATCGAAGTCATCACATTACTTAATCACTTGTTCGCTCTAGCTACTCCCGCGAGAAGTTCCTCAAGTGAAAATGGCCCCCTATCCTCTTTGTGCTGCCTGTGATGCGGCTGTGTCGCATGCCGTCAGCGAGCGTGAAGGCAGTGGTCAGCATATGCAAGAGGTTCATGGTTCGAAGCTGCAGCCAGGGTGCCCTCTTTGTCAACTCAAACGTGATTGCTGTCCCGGAGAGGACAAGACTCGGCTGATCAACACGAAGTCATCTTTCAAGGGCATGTAGACAGCCAAGAATTCTGCCTCCCTTGGTAGTGCAAAAGTTTATAAGGACGAATTGAGTGGTAAGTCTTTTCGCAAGTCAGATAAAGCAACAATAAATATCACGAGTAGCCAAAGCTTCCCGCATACGATCTATGCATAAAACTGTGAAGAAAATGGTTGATTGGGCCAATGACAAGACGGCTCGTTCAAACTGTTCCTTTCAAATGCCAGTCGCTTGGTTGAGACCTGTCTGGTTGAACGTACAGAATGCAGGCTAGGTCAACTGATCCAGTTAACTGGCTTACCGAAGCGCATCATGGATGTCGGAGCAGAAGGCGGTTCAGAGGCGCCTAGTTTATAGGTATCCAGGAAAGGGCCTACGCGGCCCTTACCTGAAATTGAGCTACAGATGGTCTGAGCATACCAACTTCATGACGACTAGGTGTAACCTCAAGCAGTACTACTTTTAAATCCCAGTCTAGAAACTGTCATAGACACTAAAGGAGATCACCATTACTAGGAGGTGCGGACTGTGGTACTTGTGGGTAGATGCTTGATGTATCGTGCAAGATGACAAGAACGATTGGAGGTTCAAGCCGAGTCTATGGCCTCCATTTATCAAAGTTCTTTGTTTACGATATCCGTAGCCGGAGGAGGAGCTGTGGGATCCCGGGATGGTTGTTTCAGACAAAGAAAGAGAGGTAGAGTAAGGACCGTTGACTACCAACGTGTCTGGCCAGATGACTCGCCGGTGTATGTATCCGCTGATCGGCTTGCTACTGGAGATGGAATGCGTCCAAAAAGCGTGCTTGATACGACAAGTTAGATCCTCCAGGAACAAATCCTCTCTCCTAGGATACTGACCTACTAATAAGAGAATGAAATATCCTGGGACGGTGCATCACTGAATGCTTTAGAATCGTTCCCTTCTGGGATTCCTACATTCTATGACGGGGATCTCATCCAAAGGAACCTACGGCTCTTCAAGACCGCCCTGAGCAAAGGGAAATCATGGCAGTCCCTAAACACGAAGAGGGAGTTGGTCTGCGTGTACTGGAGAAAAGTCATCGAGAAGTACTCTGCTCAACAACTGTCTGAGGAGGGAGACACGCTACTTGCTTTGTCTGTTATTGCAAAGAAGACGATCAGTATCATCGGAGATGAGTTAGTCTTTGGCATGCGGAAGTCGTTCCTATGGCGAGAGCTTCTCTGGTGGGTGAAGGATCCGGACAACACCATAACCGGCGAGATCTACAGTTCGGTCAGCTGGCTTTGGATATCTCTTCATGGTGCTATCTCGTTTGAACTAGCGGATGATTTAGAAGACTGCATCATCGACCCATGCATTGAGGTTTTAGACGTCAATATCTGGTCGATTGATTCGGAGGACTCGTCTGAGCCAGATTCGCCATCCTACGATGAGGCAACAAGAAGTGCCGCGCCTCACATTAGGGAGTTGACGCTTAAGGATAGACTGATACCGCTGCTGCCTTATTTAGCAAGGCTAAGTGATGATGGCAACCAAACATCATCTCCCATAGTGCTCTCAAAGTGGCGAGAGGATATCGAGGGTATTGACGTTGAGGAGTGAAGTGCCTCCTCGTCACGACATCAGCTTTTTACGTTTATGGGTTAGCACTCTATCCCTATCCTGAAGAAGAATAGGGACAAGGCGCAGCGGGCGAAGCATTGCGTATCACGTATGAGCGGGCTGGATTTGTACAATAGATGTTGTCTGACATCAAGAATCCCGACAACTTATGGCGGGAATTTGGCTGGGATCGTTATACACGTCGGTGGGCCGATGAGTTGGAACAGCAATGTATCAATTCGATAATCAGATTAAGAGTCTAGGCTTCATGCTATTCTTATTCTTTTCATCATATCGCTTACATCAATAACGGCCTCTATATAATTGACATCTGTGTGAGAGAAGGTTTAAGCGAGGCATAACAGAGTTTAGTTTGCTACTAGTGCATTTGGCAAGTTACCTCGGAAGGGAAACAGCCGCTTCAATATTGACCATAGAGGAGATATGTGTTAAAGATACCCAGCCATGAGTTTGGAACAAGCATGTTTAGGCAACACCTCTTGTTGTCTCCTCTCAAAAGGATAATGAAGGGCTATCAATCCAAATGTCCTCGATTGTTTGACTGGCAGGCCACGTCTAGATATTTGAGCGCCCGGGTGGAGACAGAATAGGCCTCCAACCGACAATGGGATGTTTTCTCCCGGAGATTCGGTGGCCATGGATCTGCACAGACCAGAATAGCTGCGCTAGATGGCACTATTGGTGTCATATCATGCAAACTACTCCGTAAAAGCCATTGTATTGATTTAGTGGAGACCTTCTCAGTGCCTGACAAGCTGGAATGGGGATCCAGGGGAGATGATTACGACTCCAATTGAATAAAGGGCGTATTTCACTGCAAAACTTGTGACTCTGCCCATCTTCGTGTGCTCCCTCTATCCAGTCCTCACCTTGTCGCGACATTATCTACCTGCTTCGGTAGGATACTCTAGTTATTTTCTTTCAAATTGCTGCCTCTCCATCTACCTTAAGACTGTGTGTTGCAACGAACATTATGCAGGGATTACTCAAGGCAATCGTGTTTGCCTCTCTTGCAACACTTGGTTCTACCGCGTGTTTCGAAGTCGCAGCAACGGGTGGGAGCTGTAGTGCTGCTGGTTCAACTGGCGTGGTAATGAAACTGTGGTGGTCCAATCTAGCTGTGAACAATCATTTTAACAGAATAAACAGGTTACAGCTGTATCCACGGCGAAAAGCGTTGAACAATGTGGAACTGCTTGTGGCGCCTCCACCGTGAGTAGATCGTTGCGAGGGCTGAAATTTGAATTCGATCATAAAGCCAAGAGACACTGACATGCAAATCCAGAGTTGTGGTTTCTACCTCTTCTATAGTTCCGGAGCTTGCTATCTTTATTCCAATAGCTGGGAGACAGCCAGAATCACTTGTACTACACCGGCGTCAAACCGATATCTATTTTACAAACCCGTTTCTTGCCCGTCATCGACGATTGTGTCCTCAACGATCGAATCTTCAACTATCCCGTCTTCAACTATCCCATTGACAACGACCCCCTCTTCGACAAGCGAATCATCTGTTGTAACGCCATCTTCGACCGACCTATCTTCCACAGTTCTATCGTCAGCTACCCCATCTTCGACACCACTTTCCACAAGCCTTTCTTCCTCAATCCCCTCTTCCGACACTCCATCTTCGGCAATCCCATCTTCAACAACACCATCTTCTTCAACACCTGATTCATCTGCATCGCCATCCTCAACGATCTCATCTACGCAGCCTCTCGACACTCCATCTTCGACACCTTCAACTACGCCATCGTCAAGCCCGGTATCGACCACTGAGCCTGACGCTACTCCGAGCACCACACGAAAGTGCCGACCTAGGAGTAAACACAACGAGCTCTAATTAGACTGATGCATAGGAACTCCATTATGGGAAATCCAAACGATACTGTTAACTCTATCAAGTCGAATAATTAGTACTAGAGATTAACGAACACTAGTTTGAGTAAATAGCCATAACATTCAAACGTGAAGCACTGCCGAGGGCCTCGCTGCAAACTAAGGATCAAGTCTCTCCGGATGTCCATGCCAAGAATCTAGTTGTAACGAGTCTACTAGGGGTTTTACAGAAAGCCATTTTTGGGAGTATATTCCCACTTAAAGCATCCAGATGAGAGGAGCTTGATTGTTTGCAAAGAGTGGAATTGGGAATAGAAGAAAGCTATAGTTTTTAGGATAGGTACAATGTGTACATTTACGGAAATGACTCTTGGATAGGTACACGAGAAAAGTTTGCACGGTTTCTGATGCGCTTCTTCAAACCGGAACTTTGATTTTGTCGTGTCAAGATGGCTGCTTCAACTTTCGATAATCCGCCCTTAATAATTTTGGTGGATCTGTCTCCCCAGAATGGTGCATACAGTGTCGCATCCTGTGCGACACAGCGGCATTAGTACCCCTCACCGATGAAGTCCGAATCAAAGAATCCTTGTATTCCGCCCATCTCGAGTCCAATAACTGATTCTACGGCAGAGTGATCCATTGACCCCAAAGCGACATGCCAGCCACACCTGCTCGCGAGGACCCGCTCGTTCTCTCCCCAATATCAGGGCAGCACACTGCTACGGTCATCATCATTCACGGATTCGGTGACTCGGGCCATGGCTGGTCCTCGGCTGTCGAGCATATTCGCCGTCGGCATGACCGCCTGGACGACGTCAAATTCATTCTTCCTCACGCGCCAAATATCCCTCTAAGCATGGCAAGCGCACGTCTTCACGCTTAAAGGGGGGCATCTTGCTAACGTGTGCGCGTATTTTTATCCGACCAGGCGGGTGGCATCCGGATGAGGTCCTGGTTTGATCTTGTGTGTAATTACTATTCACGCCTCGGTACCTTGCTGATCTTGGGGATAGACAAGTTCGCCTGGTCGTCTTAGTTCGTTGTCCGCCTGCCAGGGCGAAGATGTCTCTGGCGTTTTGGAAACACAGTCCTATATGCACTCTCTTATCCAGACTGAAATAGAAGCCGGAATTCCACCGGAGAGAATCATCCTTGGGGGGTTTTCTCAAGGAGGAGCGATAAGTATTTTCTCCGGCCTCACCGCACCCATCAAGCTTGGCGGTATCGTTGCGCTTTCATGTTGGGTGCTACTTCATAAGGAGTTCAAAGACTACATTCCAGACGAAGATTTGAACAAAGACACGCCCATCTTCGTGGGGCACGGGGATCAAGATTGGCGACTAGAGTATCAAGTGGCTGTTGACAGTGTCGAACTGCTTGGGGGGGCTGGCTACAACGTCACCTTCCACAGATACAGGCGAGTTTTTCGTTCCACCGGTGTATCTATGCCCTTCTAATATTCTTTTAGGGGGATCGGTCATTCTGTTTGCCGGGAGGAGTTGGATGAAATCGAGGAGTTTCTGGCTTCGAGACTGGCGAGTAAATGATTACAAGGCCACGGGATCGCGACATTTTCTGGAAATTGCTCGGGCAATAACGCTAAACTTTGATATGTTGACCGCGCATGTAATGATGCTGAATTTGTCGATTTCTTGGTGTTCAGTTAATCCATCCCTTTTTCTTCCAGAAGCTGCATAACCTGCATAGCTCTCTTACTTATTATTCCACCCCCGATGGCCAAGTAGAGGGCTATGTACGCTCTGCTTTTATTTTATGTTATTTTTTCCCCATCTTTGGTTGGGGTTCACAACATTGAACATTTGAAGTGTCAAGAGATTTGATCTCCAAGATTAGGTTGCAAACGTGGCTGCATCTAAATAAAGTATAATCGCTTGTAACTTTCTGGAGAAAATAGTTTTTCAGGCAATGATAACACCGCTGCCCACATCATTCGCTAAGTCCACAGTTTCCTTCAAAGCTTGTGCGGATACCGGCATTCACTGCTGAGTGGGACAGTGGCGCCACTTGCGGATGGCTCATCAACACATCGATTCGGCGTGTTTCTTCATGTCTAATTCATCAAGGGAATCTCAAACAATGGAGGAATTGCTGATGTCTCGGAAGCTTAGACGGCACATTTGATTATTCCCCTTGGTAGATTCGAGCCGAGAGCAGCCAAATATCATGTGACTCACTGCATGTTTCTGCAACACGTGACCAAGGCTTATCGCAAATTAGTGGGCGAGTGACAGGTACGTACTTTACACTTGATGTCGGCATCCGTGAGATACGTTTGCCTCAAACGTCTTCCTTTACTTCTTTTCAGAAACTCTATGGGTGCAATATAAAGGCCAATCACCCCTTGCATCCATGCCTATTATTTCTTGCTTCGTCATTGTACTTTTTCTCCAAGATACTCCTTCTTTGCCGCGGCAATTCTCCGGCTAATCATCAGCAGCGTCCAGAAGGATCCCCCAAAGTCACACAGACGGAATCGTCCATCAATCAAGATCAGCATCTCTCGCTCAACTCCCAGTGTTTTTGGTTCTGTAGACTTCCATAGCATCGCGATTCGCTCTAGGACGTGCCAAGTGTCATCGTCTCCAGTCTCTTCCTAGCCGGGCCCAAGGATGCCCCATCGATCCGGCGCTCATCACTCCCATCATCACCATGGCGCCGGAAGCGACAGGCTGGCGTTGTTACCGGACGCGATCCTCATTGACATCTTCAAGGCCGTCAACCAACTCTCCAAGCGCGACCTCTGCGCCGTGTCCCGGCTGAATAAGCGGTACCATGTCCTGGCCGACGCCGTCCTGTACAAGACGGTGCACTTCCTGACTCCCGAGCTGCACCTCATCTTCAGCGAGTCGCTCAGCCGCCGCCCTCGCCGCGGCTCCTCCATCCAGGCCGTCAAGCTCGCATACCCTGCGTCCCAGCTGTCCAGCCTAATCTCCCGCGCGCCCATCCATGGCTCCCAGCCGCACCAGGACCACCCCGCCTTGCCGTTCGACAGCCTGTCGCGGACCATATCCACAATGTCCAACCTGGAGACCCTCGACGTGGCCGTGCCCGACACGCTGCTCCACGGCATGGGCATGCTGTTCAACGGGCCCTTTGACCTGGCCTGCCTCAAGTCGTGCACGCTCTTCTACCAGACCGACGACGACCAGTACTGGGACCTGCAGGAGAACATCCACATCTTCGCCCACCCCACGCTCGAGACGCTTGTCATTAAGAAGGCGAAGCTCGACTACCGTGGCTTCGACCTCATCGAGCAGCCCCACGAGACGGCGCTTAGCAAGCTCCACCTCATCGAGTGCGACATCAACGACGACGCCCTCTCCGACCTCCTCATGTTCCCCAAGGCGCTCAAGGAGTTCGTCATGACCCAGAACGAGGAGCCGTCCCCGGAGCTCGAGGAGAGCTCCGACAGCATCCGGGACTACATGATCGCCGTCAAGTCGGCGTGCCACTCGCTCGAGACGGTCACCATCGACTTCCCCACGCTCATGACGCACAGGGCGCTCGCCCTCCGCGAGTTCGACCACCTTAAGACGCTCCGCATCAACTGGGACCACCAGCTCTTCGGCAAGACCTCCAAGAAGCCGCGGCTCCACTCGGCGGGCCTGCCCCCGGAGCTGGAGACGCTCGAGTTCTTCAACGAGCTCGGCACGGACCCCGAGGTCACGGACCTGTTCGTCTACGCGCTGGAGAACCTCCAGATCACGGCCCGGAAGCTGAAGAGGCTCATCGTCGTGGAGGGAGAGAACGGCATCCCCAAGGCGATCGAGGACGCGGTCAAGGCACAACCGCAGCTGAAGCTTGATGTCATCGGTAGCATGGATGGCCGGAGCGACAATGGGACGGAAGAGACGGAGGCGGAGGCGGAGGAGAGAAATGGGGAGGGTGGAGGAGGAGGGACAGACACAGACTGATACACGACCGCTTTCGAATGGGCATCATGATGGCAGTATATTATAGTCTTTTGGCTTGGTTTTGGAAATCCAATCATAGTTCATAGATGTTTAGATATTAGACTGCATTCGTTTGGAGATTTTGGTTCTTTAGTGTCTATACGAACTGTAAACAGGGGTACATGTTGAGCAGCTCAACATCAAGACAATAAAAAAACAAAGAATTTCTCGCAGTAAAGATTATACGCTATGACAGCAAGTCAAAAGATGAACTTGTTTCGCCTCAATTACTTACTTGGGTTGAGTGATGGGCATGGTCGTAAACCTTCAGAACAAACCGCTGGGGAAATCACAATTTGCCGTGAGACAACTTCGATTAGTTCCAGAAAAGAGCTTGAAAGCATTAGCAAGGCATGGGTTTTAATGGCATATAATAGCATTCAAGAGCCCAGGGTTGTGCAAATGAAGAAACTTGCTAACGAACTGCCACTTTTTGACTAAGGTATGTACTTACCCACAGCCACCCTATATCTCTCGGTGGCTGATTAGTTCTTACTATCAAACCCACACTCGATGGAATATAGAAGCTAACCAGTATGATTCTTTAATAAAGCGGCTAAAATTTGAGCTTTCGCAAATGTTTTTCACTCATAGATAGCATATTTTCTAGGTTTAAGTACGGAGGTAGTAGTGTTGACGGTGGTAGTGCTAAGATGGGGATGGGTACTGAGGCACTCACATGCGGCGGAAAAAAATGACTGGATACATCCTAATGGCCGTCAAGGCCCAGTATTTGAGAAATGAAATCAGTTTTCATCGTACATTCATAGCTATTCATAACAAAGAACAGATCATGCTGTCAAGGTATCTAAACACGCCAAAGCAATCTTCCCCAGCTGCCATCGCTGCCTGCGGCCAAAGGCCTCCCTTGCCCAGGCTAGAGCCCCCTCCGAATCTCCATCCTGCACATTGACCACCTTCATTGCGTCTGCCACACCCCCTCTGACGAGCTGCCAGGCAATCATGAAAGCCTTGTAAGAGTACAAAATGATCCACGGCGCCTCTGCATCCGGTACGGGCTCCATGTCCAGATACTGCAGGAACCAGTTGACGTGCGGCTGTATCGTCTTGGCGGTGTCAGCCTCGCAAAGAAACTCGCACGACGAGGGCAGGAATGTCAATTGGTGCATCACCGCGTCCATGCTGCCTTCGACTATCCCGCCGGTATGTGATGGGGACCACATCTGTAGTTCGATCATGGCTGTCTCCCACGTTGCCTCGCCCAAGTGGGAGGGGTTAGATGCCTCCGGATGTGAGTGGATGAATGGACTCAGGGCGAGGAGGGAAGTCCTCAAAGGCTCCAGTCTCTCCATGCTGAGCATCCCGGTCATGGTAGACCAGCCAGAGATTTCACGGGCGCTAGAAACAAGGAAATGCGTGATATTGATGGCGCCGTAGGAATCAAACGCGGGGATGGACGCAGGATCGCCTTCGGGGGATAGGAAACGCCTGATTGCATCGGGGTATGGAACCGAGGAGCCTGTGTTTTTGTTGACGAGCTGTCGATGAGCCCATTGGACGGATGTAGGTGCTGCCCAGTAGTCCTCTGGACAGGGCAGTTCGTGCTTCACTTCCAAATGGGAAAGCAATCGAGGGATCGAAAGGAATTGGTACCAGAGCGTGTCGAGCTGGTGGACGGCGAAGATGGTCCGCTTGTGCGATTCCGCTCTGATGAACTCGTGCCACAGCGAGTCGAGGTCTTCTGTTGCCTCCGAGGTGTTTGTGAATGTGGGTTGAACCATGCTAGATGACCGGGCTAGGGATATTATTTTGGAGTGCGTCTTGAGGCCGTACAGCGAGTCCTTCTTCCCACAGAGATACATCATCGAATAGAGTTCTAGAAGAAAGTATGCCTGGACCATGGCGACGTGCTGTACTAGTGTGCTATCCTCAACCCCCTCCTCGTCGCTGGCGACAAGGGCACGAGCGCGGTGGAAAGTTCGCGAGGACAGACTCTGGCCGGATCCCCGTTGGTCGCCGCAATCGGGATCCTCACCATACTGGTAGGCGAGACACAGCATGCCCAGCACGAGGTGGTTTGCCGATTGTGAGGGGTCGAAGGACGGCTGGTGTAAGAAGGGAACGAAGGGAGAGACATGGGTGAAGAAGAGATCGCAGCCCCGCGTGATCTGGTTATTCGAGGGAAACCAGTCGTCTTGCAGATGGGGTAAGCTCATTGGGAAGAAGCCCTCTTCCGGGGTGGCTTGGTCGAAGTTGAAGCAGGAGAGGTCTGTGGCGAACGACGTCGTCGAGTGTGGTATGTCCATGGGATGCATTTGGACGTCGAACCCTGCGCTGGGGTCGAGGAGGGACGTCCCCATCAGAGGACTCGGTCCTAGATCGGCTGTGACAAGATGGCTGATGCTGGGAGACTCGCTCGTGGCCGTCGAGGGCTGCGGCTGCTGCGCCAGGATATCAGTGAGGAATTGGGCATCCTCCTCCTCGCTGCCCTCGCTGCCCCGGGAAGCAAGCCGTGATTTCTC